CTGAGTAGGGTGCAGGTGCCCAAATTTATGACGAAATTTGATTTTTTTAATTTTTTTTAACTGGACAGGTTTAATAGCAAAATGCCCAAAATATTGTTTTATTCTCAAACTTGTCATTTTTTTTTTGTATAGCGCAAAAATTTAAAAACAAACAGGTGATCAAATACCACCAAAAGAAAGCTCTATTAGTGGGAAAAAAGGACGTAAATGTAATTTGGGTGCAGCGTTGCATGACAGCGCAATTGTCAGTTAAAAATAACACAGTGCCATAACGCAAAAAAATGGCCTGGTTAGGAAGGGGGGTAAATCCTCTGGAGGGCAAGTGATTATAGTAATTGTGAAGCAACTCAATTTGTAACTGAATGCTTCCATTTCAATTTGTAGCTAACTATAATTTTCTAAAGCAAAAACAAATAAGTACATTTTCAGAAATCAATGTAAATGTATGCAATATTTTTATGTATATTCTTTTTTTGTAACATATATCTACATTAGTCTACAATAATCTGAGGTATGATTTGTGAAATACTGTAACTTGTAAACATTCTCATAAGCAAGCACCATTTTTGCTTTGCTAAGAATCAACAGCTATAGTAAGACTAAGCAGCCAGTTGTGATATTCAGGAATGGATTTGCGAGGTCACCAAATAATAATAGTGGGCCAACAAAATTATCTTTTGATGTCTGGTCTCTGAGAGCAGGGTGAGGGATAATTGTTGCTGCCTAAGGCAGGTGCAAAGGTAATGACTTTTGTTTGGGAAAGTTTAAATTCCTGGCCATTAGGAAAATACCGCTTTACTATATTACAAGGTCATTTATTTTCATTTTAGAATGCCAATTTAATGAATGCCCTAGTGGAGCTGACCAGAATAAGTATGTAAACAGGTCTCATTGAAAGTGTTGAATTATACTGTCCATTCTGAAATACCTTGCTCCAGTTATATGGTATGGTATATTTACAAACGAAAACCATGGTCCTGCAACACAAACCAATATTTTTGCATATTTATTTTTCTTTTGTTTTCTGTAAGTGTACTGTTTCATCCTACTCAAACATTGGCTGCAGAAATACCTTTATTAATTAAATTGCCAATTGGTTGCATCTATTGTTTTGGTATCAGTTTACTACTTTGTATATCCTGCTCAAACATTGGAAGTAGCACATAGTTACAGCGGGATTTCCTTTAGAATTTTATGACTACCTTTGTTAACTCCTTTGAGCCAAGAGCAACTATGCGGCCTGCTGGGCTTTGACATCAAAAGGCTGCGTACCAAAATGTAAACAGACTGTGCCGAGAGCGCACACCTTGCCTGAACCTAACAGAAAGCTCCCAATCGCTACTTGTGATTGGGAGCTTCCTGGTTATGTGACAGCTGTGACAGCCAATCATGTTGGTCACATGATCATAAACCCCAACTCCTGGCATCAGAAACCCCGTAAAGGGGCCAGGATGCGCCGGCGTTAAGGGATTAATTAATTGCCAATTTGTTACATTCATTTTGTAAAGCACTATACAAACTGTTGATGCTAATGTAAAGCAGCACAGTGGCTAAATGGTTAGCACTTTTGCCTGGCAGTACTGGGGTCGTTGGTTCGAATCCCAGCCACGGCACCACCTGCCTGGAGTTTGCATGTTCTCCCTGTGACTGCGTGGGTTTCCTCCTACACTCTAAAGACATGCTGGTAGGTTAATTGGCTCCTGTCCAAATTGTCCCTAATATGTGTATTTATGAATGTGAATTAGGGACTTTAGATTGTACGCCGCCCCTTGAGGGTTAGGGCTGATGTGAATGTATAATATATATATGTGTAAAGCACTGCATAAATTGACGGCGCTATATAAGTACCTGAAATAAATAAATCCTGAATAATAATAACAATAATTTATTGCTTTAGTAGTCTTGTAAAGAATCTTTCTGTATATGTTCGGTCATAATACTACAAGACATTGTTTTCTGATACTACAGCTGGAGGGAAATTCCAGCTCATTCCCTATCCATAATACCCTTTTCCAAGTACCACACAACAATAATTTGATCCAGTATTCTTGATATTTTTGAATATGCATACACAAATGGAGTGTATAGTATATCTAACAAAGTTTTTACCTTTTTTAGAATTTTCTGTTCATTGTACAACTGTTCATTGTATAACTTGCCTCAGGCAGCCACCTCAACACAATATCTAAAAGGTCATTATTTTCTAATATATCTGTAATCTTCCTTTAGAGCAAATAAAACTCACACATTTAACCACTTTTGATATATATCCTGCAAACTACCTAACAACAGAAATTTTATTTTCGCAAACAGCTTATCCTCAACATCGCAACTGTTGCGCAAAGTGTTGGTGCTATATAAATCCTGTACAAAAATACAGGGTAAAAAACAGAAGGTACCTTTTCTGTATCTGCTGGCTTCCAAGGCATTATGCGGATTTCGGTCTCTCTCTCTAGCTCATGCAATACCAGAGCCTGAAGGCAGGTGGCTCTGCAAATGAAATCTAAAATAGCACCACTGTGTCCTTGAAAAACACAAGGAATTTTTCTTGAAATTTTTATAATGGTAATGAAAGCTGCACAGATAGAGACCGGCTGTGCATATCAAATCCCTCTCTCTCTTTTTTGTCTCTCAGCTTTGTACACATCTTTTTCACTATAACATTTTCTATTTAAAAACATAACCAAACTACAACACATCAGCAATCCAAGCAGAGAAGAGCAAAAGCGCTTACTGAAAATGTCCATTTATGTTTATTAAAACAAACCGATGCACCAACATTCCACCTTATACGAGCAGCAGAACAGCTCTGTACTCTGATTAAGCTCCTGTGAGGAGTGGAACGCATTAGATTGTTCTCTTATCAGATGGAATGTTGGTCCATTGGTTTGTCTCAATAAACATAAACTGACTTTTATGGTGAGCAGTTCTTCTCTGCTTGGATTACTAATTTGTTGTACTGTATGTTTAGTGGCTCATGACCTCAGAGAACCTGCTCCTGGGGTTGGGGCATGAAAGAGGTGTGCAAACTGCAGTGGAACAAAAGTTTTTCCAAAACAAATGTAGCAGGTCCTCCATAGAGGCCTGCAATATACTGTATACAGTGGGGCAAAAAAGTATTTAGTCAGCCACCAATTGTGCAAGTTCTTCCACTTAAAAAGATGAGAGAGGCCTATAATTGGCATCATAGGTAGACCTCAACTATGAGAGACAAAATGAGAAAAACAAATCCAGACAATCACATTGGCTGATTTGGAAAGAATTTATTTGCAAATTATGGCGGAAAATAAGTATTTGGTCACCTACAAACAAGCAAGATGTCTGGCTCTTACAGACCTGTACCTTCTTCTTTAAGAGGCTCCTCTGTCCTGCACTCATTACCTGTATCAATGGCACCTGTTTGAACTTATCAGTATAAAAGACACCTGTCCACAACCTCAAACAGTCACACTCCAAACTCCACTATGGTGAAGACTAAAGAGCTGTCAAAAGACACCAGAAACAAAATTGTAGACCTGCACCAGGCTGGGAAGACTGAATCTGCAATAAGCAAGCAGCTTGGTGTGAACAAATCAACTGTGGGAGCAATAATTAGAAAATGGAAGACATACAAGACCACTGATAATCTCCCTAGATCTGGGGCTCCACGCAAGATCTCACCCCGTGGGGTCAAAATGATCACAAGAATGGTGAGCAAAAATCCCAGGACCACACGGGGGGACCTAGTGAATGACCTGCAGAGAGCTGGGACCAATGTAACAAAGGCTACCATCAGTAACACACTACGCCGCCAGGGACTCAGATCCTGCAGTGCCAGACGTGTCCCCCTGCTTAAGCCAGTACATGTCCGGGCCCGTCTGAAGTTTGCTAGAGAGCATTTGGATGATCCAGAAGAGGATTGGGAGAATGTAATATGGTCAGATGAAACCAAAATAGAACTGTTTGGTAGAAACACAACTCGTCGTGTTTGGAGGAGAGAGAATGCTGAGTTGCATCCAAAGAACACCATACCTACTGTGAAGCATGGGGGTGGCAACATCATGCTTTGGGGGCTGTTTCTCCGCAAAGGGACCAGGACGACTGATCCATGTACAGGACAGAATGAATGGGGCCATGTATTGTGAGATTTTGAGTGCAAACCTCCTTCCATCAGCAAGGGCATTGAAGATGAAACGTGGCTGGGTCTTCCAACATGACAATGATCCCAAACATACCGCCCGGTCAACGAAGGAGTGGCTTCGTAAGAAGCATTTCAAGGTCCTGGAGTGGCCTAGCCAGTCTCGAGATCTCAACCCCATAGAAAACCTTTGGAGGAAGTTGAAAGTCCGTGTTGCTGCCCAGCGACAGCCCCAAAACATCACTGCTCTAGAGAAGATCTGCATGGAGGAATGGGCCAACATACCAGCAACAGTGTGTGCCAACCTTGTGAAGACTTACGGGAAACATTTGACCTCTGTCATTGCCAACAAAGGATATATAACAAAGTATTGAGATGAACTTTTGATATTGACCAAATACTTATTTTTCCACCATAATTTGCAAATAAATTCTTTCCAAATCAGCCAATGTGATTGTCTGGATTTTCTTTCTCATTTTGTCTCTCATAGTTGAGGTCTACCTATGATGCCAATTACAGGCCTCTCTCATCTTTTTAAGTGGGAGAACTTGCACAATTGGTAGCTGACTAAATACTTTTTTGCCCCACTGTATGTCCCAAGACCTTTTTCCACTTTCTCCTGCAGCCAGGTGCACATGCACTCTCTCTCTTTTGGCTAAAGAAACAGTCTAGGGTTGTTGGTTTTGATGTTTTAACTAGTTGCTGACCGCAGATAGCCAAATGACAGCTGCACTGCGGCCGGCCAGTTCTGGGTGGATCCAGCGATCTCCGTGATTGCTGTGTCCTACGGACATAGCTGATAACGTGATGTGGTAAAAGGCCAATCACAGCGGCCTTTTACCACATGATCAACCGTGTCCAATGACACTTTGATCACAGGGAAATGCAATTGCCGGTTCTCGGCTGCACTTTCCTCACGCTGTCAGAGTGTGAGGAAAGTACTGCTGAGAACCGGCAGTTGTCAGAGCAGGGATCAGCACCGATCATCAGGGCACTGATGATCAGTGCCCTGATGATCGGTGCCCAGCAGTGCCACCTGTAGGCACAGAGATGGACGTGGTTCAACCATTTTGCTCCAACCTCCATCTTGGCAAAGGATCATCCATCTTGTACAAATATATCTTCCCTCATCCCCCTCCCTCTCTGAGATCCACAGTGACATGTGGTCAGTGTGTGTTGGAAGTGTCACAGGCAGACCGGAGCACAGCAGGCGGCTCCGAGCTTTAAAACCTCTCTGAGCTGGGTGCCGGGCTGTCTAAGAAACTGTGCAATCTGGCACCTCGTAAAAGGATAACCCAAGCCTTCCCCTGAGTTCAAAGAAATTCCAGAAGAGTCATAAACTAGATACCACTTTTAAAATCCATTTTCCCCCTATGTCTCATATCTTGGAATATGAGAGACTTACATAAAAACCAGGCATATCTTCAGATTGGTCACGAGAAGACAAACCGTTTGATATGTCACACTCCTTGGCTGGAATATATAGGATAGCAGAAAATTACATCTCTTGAACCATTCAAGTATGTATTTCATATTTCATATCTAACCGTTCCGCAGATGCGTCTGCATATTAATCTACCCACGGGCGGAATGTTACTTGTGCCTAGCAAAAGTTATGAGCCAAAATATAAGCTAAGAGAGATTTTGGTTCTAGCTTGGGTCTCTGCCTAGACACCCCCTCCCCAAATGAGGCATTGGTCCTTGGCTTCAGAGACACCCCCTGCTGGGGGACTACAAAATAGGCTGTCAGGCCTAAAAGTTAAAGTTGAAGAAATCTCCCTTTTAACATCAGAACCAACTTGGGAGACGGTGCCCTTTTGCTCTGAGACTTGATCTGCTTAACCCAGGATTTTCAAGTACTCTACCTCTCTAAACTTCTTTCTGTTACCTTTTTGCTGTGTTATTGCTATCTGTATTTATATATATATTGGTTACATTTTTTTTCTGTAAATATTTTTATTGCACCCTTTTGACCTTTTAGTAATAAATCTTTCTTTCTGAAAGTGTTGACCTGTTTCTATAGCTCTTTAATGCAACTTACGAATTCCTGCTGCTGAAGAGCGCTACTGTGTGTGTTTAACCCTCTGTATAACCTGTCTGCGGTGATAGTAGTATACAGACACTTATCCAATCATCCTAGTGTTATTGCTGATATTGCAGAGTTTCCTCTTTCTCTGTACAAAAAGGAGGTGGTGGTAGTGTGAAGGGTTAATTGCGTAATTAACCTGACCCAGTAACAATCGCACTCAGGCTGCCGGTACATCGAATTGTGGTCAATTAGCTGGAAAATCGTTGTGCAGGGTGCAACTGGGCGTGGCATTGTTACGAACGTGACATCGCGGTTTTAGATTGGCTAGTCCTTCGGTCACGAGTTTGGTAAGAAGGGCTGGGGTCTGATGCGTGATCATCACACCACCCACCAGTTCCGCCCACCCGTGCCCAGCAGTGCAACCCACCTGTGCCCACCAGTGCCACCCACCTGTGCCACACACACCTGTGCCCAGCAGTGCCACCCACCTGTGCCCAGCAGTGCCGCACACCAGTGCCACCCACCAGTGCCCATCAGTGCAGCCCAGCAGTTGCGCCAGTCAGTGCCCAGCAGTTGCGCCAGTTAGTGCCCAGCAGTGCTGCCAGTCAGTGCCCAGCAGTGTCGCCAGTCAGTGCCGCCAATCAGTGCTATCAGTACCCATCATCAGTGCCGCCTATCAGTGCCGCCTATCCGTGCCACCTCATTAGTGCTGGCTATCAGTGCCACCTATCAGTGCCCTTCTTCAGTGCTGCCTATCAGTGCCTATCAGTGCCTATCAGTGCCGCCTATCAGTGCTGATCAGTGCCGCCTATCAGTGCTGCCTCATCAGCGCACATCAGTGAAGGAGAAAAATTACCTGTTTGTAAAATTTTATAATAGAAACAAAGAAACTTTATTTTTTATTTTTTTTTTGCAATTTTTTTGTTTATAGCGCAAAAAGTAAAACACCCAGCGGTGAGTAAATACAACCAAAAGAAACCTCTATTTATGAAAAAAAAATTATAAAAATGTCATATGGGTACAATCTTGCACAACCGCGCAATTGTCATTCAAAGTGCGACAGCACTGAAAGCTGAAAATTGGCCTGGTAAGGAAGGGGGTATAAGTGCCCGGTAGGCAAGTGGTTAATAAAAGGTTGAACTTGGAAGAGGATTGGGGAAAGCAGGATCATCCAATAACGCTATAATGCTATAATGAACTTTGAAGACACTGAAACTTTCTTCTTGTAACTTAGAACTCCCATAACTCAGAAAACTGTCACTGTGCAGCAGAGAGCAGACAGGTTCTGCAAGGCAGTATTAAGGAGGTTGAGCCTTCCTTGGTGAACAGTCCAAGCAACAGCCTTCTTCCTGCGGAATGGATCAGCTATGCTCTTCAGGAGAAATTTCTTAGCAAACACCCAGCTGGCCTTCTAGCCTGCAAGAGGGGACGGTAACACTCAGTCTCTAGGATCTCTATGACCTCTTCCAAACTGTACTCACCTTCCTAGAGATTGGCTGGGGCTACATAAATATTAAGCTGCTGATTATTATTATCCCACCTCAATTCCCAGAGCTCCTCCAGGTGAACAAGGAGAAACAAAAAAAAATCATGCAGCCCCTGGAACACAAACCAGACCAAACTAATCAAACCCAGCTTCCCTGGTTACAGTGAGGTAAATTAAATGTACCTACACTAAAACTTAGCTATAAGTCTCAGCAGAATTCTAGCCTCGCTGGTACAGTAAGCCAAACTAAATTTACCTAACAGAACAATTTAACCCCACTGACTACAATGGGCACAAACTAGATTTACCTATCCTAGCACCTAACTATGAAGGCGCTACTCAAAGATAACAAATCTGTTCCTTAATGTTCCTGTTTGTTAGAAAGGTTTGTGTGGCATAGCTCTGCAAACATACAAAAAGTGTAAAGAAGTAAATGGCCATTTATGATTTTATTGACAGTAAATTACCTATAGGGGTCTATTCATTGACTCAGTGACTACAAAGATAAGGTCAACAATGGAACCTATTAGCAGTTTATTGTTAACAGCTTGCTATAGACTTTATGTGGGTTCTTGACTTTTGGGGCAAAGAACTTCATTACTGAAATCTTTCCAAATAATTTCAACTTCATTATTAGTGTGATGCTACATTTTTTGTAGTGTGCATTTTTTTTATTATACTAAATGTTTCATTGTAGTGATGTAATCGGTGGAGGTAGTACCCCTTTATATACCTGCTGTGGGTGGGGCCCAGGGCACTTGGGGTATGGGAGCAGGACACCCCTAATCAGCAAAGCTGTAAACACTGTGTTAGATGTAAATTGGACAGCCCTCTTCAGGGCTGAATCGCCAGGGTGGTGAGTGAGGACACTTGGGAGCAGACAGAGAATCCTTGACCCCCTTGACCCTCACGTGGCTTGGTTTAGCATGGCCCCTGGGCCTATGGAGTATCTGCCTTTGGGGTTCATGTACTAAAACTGTAGAGTGCAAAATCTAAAGCAGCTCTGCATAGAAACCAATCAGCTTTCATGTTTTTTGTCAAAGCTTAGTTGAACAAGCTGAAGTTAGTTAGATAGAGAGAAAAACAGTGGCGCACACACCTAGTGCATTATCCAAGGTTTATTGTAGGAATTAAATCATAAAAACATACTCACAGACGAAGCATGTATCTAAAAAGCATAGAAAAATGACAATGGCCACAACGCAGGCAAGGTGTTCTCACTGTCATTGCGGTTTAAATGGCTGACGCGTTTCGGGGACGAATCCCTTTCCTCAGAGCTGTCTGAAACCTCAATCATGCTGCTGATGTCACGATGAAGCTCAAGTAAAGTGAGTAGCCCTGCTGTTGATGCAAGCTCTCTATCCAGAAGTTAGTTGCACCCCTGGAAATTTCCTTTTGGTTGGCTACCATGCATATCAGCTGCATACCTAGATTTTAGAAGCTGATTGCACTCTACCAGATTTTGCACAGTTTTAGTAAATCAACCCCTTTGTGTGTGGGGAAGGAATCAACCCCTGTGTGTGTAAAATCAATGATAAGAAACTGTAACATATGGGGAACATGGCTGTAACTATTCTGTGAGATATTGAAGTATTGTTCATTGTGGACTTCTGCACTGTGAGTCAAGTTAATGTACCTGTACTGTATAGTGACTGTAAATACATGAATTGTGCTGGAGTGAGGTTCTGCATTAAAGATTTAAAAAGACTTTTGGATTGGACATTTCTTTAATCTGGGTAACAGGCCTTTGGCTGGGAATGTGATGAGGCAGGCTTCTGGCCAAGAAGTATGGCACAATATGGCAGAGTATCTTCAAACAACAAGTAGGTGACTATTCCATCCAAGAAGAAAGGGTCCAGAGTCAGTATAGCAAGAACAGCCGTCCAATAAGTGATTTGTTAGTTTAGGTTTAGGGGGTATGGTAATCCTAATTAAACTTAAATCTCAACTCTAGGGAATGTAAAAATCTTACAGACAGGATGCCTCAGCATTGCAAGGGTTAAATGCACATTTAGATCTCAGAGATGGAAAAGCATTTTTACTTACCTGATTCTCTGCTCCTGCAGCAACCAATGCTACCCTAAACTTGAGTGGTGAACTGTTCCTTGGCAAACTCATGTCCAATGTAGGGATATGGGCTTTGCATTGGTCTAGATGATGTAAGAGGACATCTGATCGTTGGAGCATAGGGGAGAGGAGAATGAGGGGATTGGTCTTGAATCGAGGAGGGAGCCTGTGGGAGCAGAGAATCAGGTAAGTAAAATTGCTTTACTTATTGACCTAAAAGAACCCTTATGGCTCAAAATTGATATGGTCCAGAAATATTTAGACAAAATAAAGGTGAATAAAGCACCTGGACCAGATGGCATACACCCACGGGTCCTAAAAGAATTGAGCTCTGTCATTTCAAAGCCATTGTTTCTAATTTTTAGGGACTGTTTAATGACTAGCAGAGTACTGCTGGATTGGTGTAAGGCCAATGTGGTGCCAATATTTAAAAAGGATCAAAGTCTTTACCAAGCAACTTCAGTGCACGTTTAGGATATATTTCATTGTACCTTCAGGTAAGCCTGATTGTAAGCTTACCTATAGGTTACGTTCAATTAGAGACTTAACTAGCACTTTAGTCTGCCTGCATCTGATCTTTTGCCCATTTCCTACTAACTTTTCCTTGTGCACTGTGTCTGAAGGCATCCATGTTGGTCAAGGCAGTGCTTTGCTTCCCCATGTCAGAGCTGATGACTAGTGAGGAAAGTAGAAAATGTACAGAATAAAAGAAGCAGGGAGATCCTTGCACTGCAGGTCCTTGGGTACAGCTCCCTCTTTAGCAAGTAGAATGGTAAGCAGAACCAGAGTGATATTACCAAAGCTAATAAAACTGGATGTCATGGGAAGTATTGCATTCAAATGCCATACTATAAGACTGAAGATACGAGAGTGACTAAGCACCGGAAACAGTGCTATTTTTCAGGCAGAATTCAAGAAATAAAGTAAATATTTCAGGGTACTGCTTAGGCAGAATTACTATTTTGAGATGTTCCCTATAAAACAGCAAATCTTCACTTCAGGTCCAGTTTACCCCTTTAATGTTTACTTTTAACAAACCATTTTTTTGGATGTTCTAAAGCCAGAGAATACTGCGCCAATATCACCACAAAATGGTTTAATGCTTTTTTTGACTATTCAGGTGCAACAAACATTGTACTGCATATAAAGCATAGCAGAACAGTATAAGCAGTGTAACTGCTATTATGAATGCATGCTCTTTAGTAGTACCTAAGCTTGGATATTCCACACAGAATTTTTTGTTCCATTAGCATACTCAGCAAAGTATTGTTTACTGTAAGATGGGTCATCTTCGTAACTCATAAGACAGATGTAAATTAATATAGAGATGTAGCTCTGGTCAACTAAAAATAATTCTGCATATCGTGAGCCATGTTGCTCAAATTAACACTGTGGTATGCAGCTTTAGTAAGTTACACTACAAATACCTACCTGATAATGAAGATGATGTAAATGTGTTGAGTGTGCTTTATCACTTTGTGTGTGCATTATTCATCAGCACTTCAAATTATAATTATAAATATTGAGATAAAGATCTGAGTACTATCCAGTTTCATAGCTTGCATCTGTGACCACACTGTCAAGGCGGTCTGTTTTTATGTTAAATGGAGCATGGGACAGAAATCAAAGTAGAGTCCCATGCACTAAACTAATATTCTACTGACAGCTCTGCGATATTTTTTAAAGCAGAACATCAACCAAAAAGGGAAGTTAGGCATGTTTGCATCCCCCCCCTCTTTTTTAATGATTGGCACTTTTTTGGGGTGTGCTGGGAGCAGGTACCTGGTTTTGACAGGTACCTGCTCCCACTTCCAATCTGATCACCAAGACGATCTGAGTGGAAGTTCTGCCACCCCTCCTTCCACACACACATCAAAGGTCCCAAAAGACTGTGGGACCATTCACAAAATGCACAGTGGCTCATGAATATGCTGTGGAAAACGGCTGTGAAATCACATTGTTTTCAATGGTGCCAGTTCACATCAATGCAGCATGTTTTTGGAAAAGGGTCCAGTG